AATGTTTTGTCTGAAATTCATTTTAATTACAGTGGTGTAAAAATTATCATCCTAAGGTAAAAATGATCTTCCCACAAATAACCATCTTAGAATCCATACTTCAGCAGCTCCTACTCACAATTGTCGCTGCTGCAGAATAAGCAGTGAAAGGGTAGGGACACACCTAATCCCCTGCACTACCAGCCCCACCAAGCCTCCTGCCCAAACAAGTGGCCCTGGTCTGGCAGCAAGAGCCCTTCCTTGCTGAGAGCAAGATTTCACTGAGGGACCATGTCATTAAATCCCAAGCAGTGGAAAGTTTTTAAAATATCAGCTGAGATTCTGAGATTTCTTCCATATGCACTTGGCTTTCTCAAAGGAGACATCACAAGTATTTGGGACAGATTCTCACCTGAGCCCAATTACTCTGGACAACAGAAAAAGGAATATTTTCTCAAGGTAACAAAAGTCAAACGGAAGCATCTTAAGGATGTGTGTCTACAATGAGTGATGATCTAATGAAGTATAAGCATGTACTTACTTTCCACAGCACATGTGATGCTTATCCGGCATGGCCAAGCCCAGCACAAGGATACAATACTTCTTCGCCAAGTACTTCTGTGCCGCGTCTAATTTACTCAAAACCAATTCCATTTCTTTTTTCTCTACAAGGCCTCTGAGGGGAAAAATTTTAAAAAAGAGAATTTGGGTTAACTTTCACAAACGTTTATGTTAACTAGCAAAAAGTCAGAATTGTAAACTTTTTTTTCTTTTCTTTAAGACAGGGTCTTGCTCTGCTACCCAGGCTGGAATGCAGTGGTGTGATCATAGCTCACTGCAACCTCAACCTCCTGAACTCAAGCAATCCTCCTGCCTCAGCCTCCTAAGTAGCTGGGACTATAGGCACACACCACCATATCTGGCTAATTTTTTATTTTGTGTAGAGGCAGGGTCTCACTAGATCAGCCTTTTGTCCAGGCTGATCTTGAACTTATGGACTCAAGTGATCCTCCCCTTGACCTCCCAAAGTGTTGGAATGACAGGCATGAGCCAGCGTGCCCAGCCATAAACTATTCTGAAAGAACTACGTATGTGTCAACAGACTTCACTTACCAATGAATTTATTTTATTTAAGCAGTGGTACAGGAAAATCCTTAGAGTTTCTTCATATTTAATCATTGGAATCAGTATCTCAAGTTTATGGTGTATTTTCACTTTATATACTTTTTTTTTTTTTTCAGAGTCTCGCTGTGTCACCCAGGCTGGAGTGCAGTGGCACAATCTTGGCTCACTGCAACCTCTGCCTCCCAGGTTCCAGCAATTCTCCTGCCTCAGCCTCCCATGTAGCTGGCATTACAGGTGCCTGCCACCATGTCCAGCTAATTTTTGTATTTTTAGTAGAGATGGGTTTCATCATGTTGGCCAGGCTGGTCTCAAACTCCTGACGTCAAGTGATCCACCCACCTTAGCCTTCCAAAGTGCTAGGACTACAGGTGTGAACCACCAAGCCCGGCCTATTTTTGCTTTTATTATAGATTATACTTTATGCTATGTATCCTCAATTTTATATCCAGGTAGTCCTAATTATAAAGAACAGCTCAACTAACAAATTATACTGGTTGCTGAGGTGGCTAGCTGCCTACTTTCCTGCTATTTTCCTAAAATAACCATGGAGACCATGTACCTCAGCTTCCCCTGCGTTCCCTATGTCATTACTGAGCTTGGGGGCTCAACATGTGAACAAGGACCGATTCTCAGTTCAAAGTATAGCTGTGTTTGCTAAGGAGGCATCTGTGGACAACTACTCTGGGAACTTTGGCATTAATTACAATAACACTGCTTCCCTGTGAAACCAGCTGCAGTTCCAATTGAATTGCAAGTGAACTTTCACAAAGACAACCTGTTCTTAGGTTACAGCAAGCCAAAATTTAAGTTTCTGCCATACAATACAGTAGGAGACAATACTGCTGATGATACATTCCAATGTACTATTATTGAAAAGTGAGGTGTCACTAGACACCAAATGATATTTACTCTAAACAGGGACAAAATGACTTCCCCTTCTGGGTTAACCATTAGACTGACTCCATGAAGATATGCCATGAGGGGAGGGGGGTGTATTTAAGGATAATATAAACATTTCAAAACAAAAAATGTTATCACATGTGATGAAAAGGCATAAAATGAGTTTCTGGAATAAAGTGGGCTCCAACATTACGTACCCAAATGCCATATAACCAAAACACACCCCAGTGACCACATCCCTGTGCCTGTTTCCTTCAGCAGCCCTACCCTCACTTGTCACCCTACTCTGCCAGTGCTGCCAGTAGCTAATATTCTTCTTTTGCTGTAGAAAACAACCAAACCAAACTACAACCACCAAGAAGTGCCTTGAAGCTTTTAGGCCAATGCTTCTCAAGTTTTCATAAACCTATGAATTATGAAAGAATCACTAGGGATGCTTGCTAAAAGCGCAAATTCCCACTGCAACCCTCTCTCCAAGATTCTGGTTCAGTAGTCTAGGTCTTGCCTAGAAAATTTAAAACAATCTTCCCAAATGATTCCAAGGCAAGCGGTCCTTAAACCACATTTGCACGTATACATAAAGGACTGATGTGTTGAAATGGAATAAAGAGGAAAAAGCTACGAAGAAAACTAACCTACATACAAAAAATCCAGGCAGAGGTGGCCTGCTTGTACCACACTTCCATGTCTGGAAACCATTCCCCCATACTGTTTTCATCTAATTATGAAAAACTGCCTTAAATACAAACCCAGTTAGTGGTTCATTTTTAAAGCACATTCTTTAAAAATGCAAACAATAATGTTGACAAAATTTTGTTGAAACAGATGTACTTATTGTTGCTTGTAACAGAAAATTGGCATAATCTTTTGGGGGAAGAAAACTGAAAATAATTTCAAGAGCCATAGAAATGATCATAAATTTTGATCCAATATCATCTCTCCTGGAAATATATTATTTTTTAAAAATCACCCAAAATTAGAAGGAAATTTTTATGCATGAGGACATTCAATGCAATCATTATTTATATATCAGAAAAACTAGAAACTGCCAAAATATATAAAATGGAAGGTGATATGGTTTAGCCGTGTCCCCACCCAAATATCATCTTAAATTGTAGCTCCCATAATTCCCATGTGTCATGGGAGGGACCCAGTGGGAGGTAATTGAATCATGGTGGTGGGTCTTTCCTGTACTGTCCTCATGATAGTGAATAAGTCTCATCAGATCTGATGGTTTTATAAAGGCACATTCCCCTGCACATGCTCTCTTGCCTGCTGCCATGTAAGACATGCTTTTGCTGCTCATTTACCTTCTGCCATGATTGTGAGGCCTCCCCAGCCATGTGGAACTATGAGTCAATTAACCTCTTTCCTTTATAAATTACCCGGTATGTCTTTATTAGAAGCATGAGAACAGGCTAATACAGAAGGATAAAGGGAGTAGTAATACAGTCAGGTATTGTTTAAGGACTTGAGGTTTATTAACCTAACATATGAGTGAGTCTCCCATGAGATGTAACCCAGGCATCAAAATCTGTACCCTTAACCACTACAGTATACTGCCTCTTAGTAGGTAAGTCAAGTCACACACATTGACTTGATGGAAAACTATGCTACCATTAAAAATTATAATTATGAAGATTATAATAACTTGAAAGTACATATGATATTATGTTTAAAAGTAAATACAGGCCAGGCGAGGTGGCTCACTCCTATAATCCCTGCACTTTGCAAGGCTGAGGCAGGTGGATCACCTAAGGTCAGGAGTTCAAGGTCAGCCTGGCAAACATGGTGAAACCCCATCTCTACTAAAAATACAAAAAATTAGCCAGGCATGGTGGCACACACCTGCAGTGCCAGCTACTCAGGAGACTGAGGCAGGAGAATCACTTGAACCCGAGAGGCAGAGGTTGCAGTGAGTTGAGATTGCGCCACTGCACTCCAGCCTGGACGACAGAGCAAGACTCCGTCTCAAAAAAAAAAAAAAAACAAATACATACATAATTGATTGTTCAGAAGCTAAAAATTCTAATTATGGACAGATAAACTCTGGAAAACAGTGCAGTTGATAGATAGGAAGTGCTGGGCATGTTGTACAGTGGTTTAAGCACAAGCTTTGGAGTGAAACACCTGCGTTCTAATATCAGTTCCACCTAGGAACTGTAATGTCATCTCCTAGGTATGGTATGTAATCTCCAACAAACTAACCCCTCTGAGCCTTAATTTCTTCGCCTGTAAAATGGGGATAAGGCTGCTGCTTCTGAAAGCAGGGTAATCATCTGACATCATCTAAGTGTACCTTTGCCATCCTTCTTCACCTTTTTCTGTTCTCCTCCCATGGCTATATGCTTTCCTCCCAAGTCCCATGAACTGGGTTAAGATAATATACACTGTCTCGTCTACTTCTGTATAATAACTCTGAATTAAGTGCTATTACTATCCCTATGCCATATCTTAGTATTTGAAATCAGTTTTTTATTCTGTGCAGACACCTCAATGCAATCAATATTTAAATCTATTACAGTAAGTAAACCAACAGACCACAGGAAGCCTGAAAATAAAGACTTGTGATTTTTTTTTTTTAGAATCACACCATAAAATCCATACTTTTAAGGCTTCAATTGGTTTTTGTCAATCTGAGTAACTGATTCCTTCTAAGGAACAGTTTACCTTATACCACTGTGTTTAGTGCATCTTTAACTAGAAAACCTGTCTCATTATCTATTCTTATCTATTAAGAAAGCAGGCCAAGTGTGGTGGCTCACACCTGTAATCCCAACACTTTGGGAGGCTGGGGCAGGTGAATCACCTGAGGTCATGAGTTGGAGACCAGCCTGGCCAACATAGTGAAACCCGATCCCTCCTAAAAATACAAAAATTAGCCAGGCGTGGTGGTGGGCGCCTGTAATCCCAGCTACTCAGGAGGCTGAGGTGGGAGAATGGCTTGAACCCAGGAGGCATAGGTTGCAGTGAGCTGAGATTACACCACTGCACCCCAGCCTGGGTGACAGAGCAAGGCTCCATTTAAAAAAAAAACAAACAAACAAATCTTTTTGCTAGATTAGCAATAAGCCTCAGAAGAGGAAATACTATAAAAAATATAATAACCCAAAGTGCCAAAAAAGTCTGAAGTTTCTATTTGGGAATAGTAACAATCTTCAAACCTTCTAAGTCCATCGCTGGCTTCAAGCCCTTTTGCTTCCTACCGTAGACACATTTCATGCTCTAGCTGCCCTGCTGTGCAATACAGCCCCAAAATAACACTGATGTTGCATATTATGAGGGCTCAACAGGAATAAGAGTTTTTAAATTATTTATTTGGTTCTTTACAAAACTGCTATCCAGATGCATTTATTCTACCCATAAGATGTTTTTCCAGCTGCTTGGTTGTGTAACAGGTTTTCCATTTTGAAAACATCCTGCAGCAACAAGTTAATTACTCTACCCAGCATTCCTAACAGCTAAATCATTGGGTTGGTTCCACATGTACTGGGGAGGGCTGCCTGGCACATGGAAAGTTCCATGGCTTGCAAAAGGTCACCAAGGCTGAGAGGCATTGTTCGGTTCTGCACTCTGAGTTCCCAGATTCCTGTCCTGGTGTACACCTCTGAGCCACTTCTGCCTAAAGCTAAAGCACTTAAATTATTTATAAGTTAGCCTAAGAAACCTTGGATTTTTTCCTGAGATGTGGAATGCCATTTTGGCCAAATCTATTAATTTTTTTAATTCTTACATTTTTTTTAATTGGATGCTTACAAGCCCTTTAGCAAAAACTTTGTAAGCATAAAAAGCACACAACAATTGTATCTGCACTATTCAAGATGGTTGTCACTAGCCCCAAGTGGCTATTGAGAATGTGTCTAGTATGAATTGAGAATATTATAGGTATAAAATAGATACCAGATTTCAAAGTCTTACTACAAAAAAGTGACATATCTCATTAATAACTTCCTAGTATCAGTTACTGTTGCAATTATATTTTTGCATCATTGGGTTAAATAAAAGACACTATTAAAATTAATTTCATGTGTATCTTTTTACATTTTTAAAATATTACCAGAAAATTTAAAATTATATACATGGCTTTTATTATCTCATTATTGGGCAATGCTAGTCTGAATCAGTTGGAATATTTTGCTACTGGAATACACAGAGAAATTATTCAGTGAGCTTTAGAAACACACTCTTCCCATGTAAAATGTCTTTGTACATCTCAAAGATTTAAACATTTCTATCATCTCTTTATCCTAGACAAAAGTTACTTTTAATACTAGCAGTGATACAACTCGAAAGCACACTATAAAATCTTACTTACACCATATAGCTTTTGGGTTTCTTTTCCAGTGAGTTTTTTTCCAAGTAATGAGATAAGTAGTACAATAATGCCATGAGGAAATTATCAAGATTCTTATTCCTATGGAGAAATTTGAAACAAAACAAAGAGTCAGTGCTAACCTATTTCAAATGTAAGACTTCTCATAAAAAATACATGAACACACAACACAAGAATAAGTAGAAAACCATGTTAACATGCCTATCAAAGAACTAATTTACCAATTAAAATTCTATCTACTGTATCTTCAAATATTTTAAAAATCTGGTTTTTGTAAGTAAAACATTTGGAGAGGTCAGACACTAAATTCTTATAATTGTGCTTATTAATTAATTTTCATTTTTTAAAAGTTATATATTTCCACTGTTTAAAAAATATAGAGAAATGCATCAAGTAAAAAGTTCTCTGCTGCCTCTGTCACCATCCTGTTCCCTAGTGGTAACCACTATTAAGAGTTTGGTTTGGGCCAGGCACAGTGGCTTACACCTATAATCCCAGCACTTTGGGAGGCCAAGGTGAATGGATCACCTGAGGTCAGGAGTTTGAGACCTGCCTGGTGAAACTCTGTGTCTACTAAAAAATACTAAAATTAGCCAGGCATGGTCATGCATGCCTGTAATCCCAGCTAGTCAGGAGGCTGAGGCAGGAGAATTGCTTGAGCCCAGAAGGTGGAGCTTGCAGTAAGCCAATATTGAGCCACTGCACTCCAGGCTGGTGACAGAGTAGGGACTCTAAAAAAAAAAAAAAAAAAGGGGGGGGGGCTTGGTATGAATCCTTTCTAAACTTTATAAAACATAGACAATCACATATAACATCCTCCTCCACCAATATATGTACATGTGCATGACTATATGCCTTAAAAATGTTTTTTGGTAATAAGTAGGGTAATACTGTATATACAATTCTTTGCAACTTGCTTTTTTTTTTTTTAATTTGGGTTCTGGAGTACATGTGCAGATCATGCAGGATTGTTGCATAGGTACACACATGGCAATGTGGTTTGCTGCCTCCATCCCCCCCTCACCTACATCTGGCATTTCTCCCCATATTATCCCTCCCCAACCTCCCCTGCCCCACTGTCCCTCCCTTAGTCCCCCACAACGGACCCCAGTGTGTGATGCTCCCCTCCCTGTGTCCATGTGTTCTCATTGTTCAACACCCACCTATGAGTGAGAACATGCGGTGTTTGATTTTCTGTTCTTGTGTCCGTTTAATGAGAAGCAACTTGCTTTTGTCACTTTCTGTGTAGCACAGACCTCTTTCTATGATATATATAGATTTTCTTCATTCTTTTTAAGAGCTGGATATTCTATACCTCATTTAACTAGTCTTCTATTGATGGGTATTTAGGTTTTTAAAAATATAGACAGAAGTGAAATTGCTAGCACATAGTGCATGTGCATATTAAATGTTCATGCCACACCCTCCAAAAAGGCTGCACTGATTTACAATGCTATCTCATTTGTTTTTAACTAGAAGTCATTGTTTTCCTTCTAAATATTTTTCAAGACTTTTGCTGCCTTCTTTGTGGCCCCAAATGGAAATTGATTCTCTGGCATTGGTTTCTTGAACTATACCTAAAAAAGCAGGATGAGGGTGACCATTACAGATTTTCTTTTCAAGATATTAATAACTCCCCGTCTCAGGTTGGGTTCTCCACCAACAGACACTGGGACAAAGACTTGAAAGTGAATCGTTTTGTTGGGAAGTGATCTCAGGAAACATCAGTAGGAAAGTGGGGAAATGAGACAGGAAAAGAAAGGAAGCCAACAAAAAGGGTGTTAACAAGTAAGTGGAGTTCAGTCCTGCCGGGACTCTGGGAGACGGTGTGGAAAACATCTCAGTTTACCTACCAGCTCCTCCAGCAGGGCACTGAGTGAGAGCTGCTTTTAGGGCACTGACTCCCTAGCTCTGAGCTTGCCCTGCAGTCAGGCTGAGCGTGCTCCTGTGGTGGAATGAGGCCTTCCGGCTGAGTCTCAGGCAGTTGCCACAGCAGCCTGCATGTGTGTGCTGAGAGAATGCAGAGGGGTGCCAGTGGTATCGGGCACCCAACTCTCACTGAGCATTCACGGTGTAGGGGCCGCATGAGGCACAGCCATGCACAGCCATACAAAGGGGATACAATTACATAATTACTTTCCAGTTTTGTAGCTGAGGAGACAGGCTTAAAAAGGTCAAGAAACTTACCTAGAGTCACACACCTAGCATATCCTGGGGCTGCCAAACATAACTAGTGGAAAAAATTGATCTTCAGTAAATGGGTAAATCCCCCCCTTTTTTTTTTTTTTTTTTTTTTTTTTTTTTTTATAGTTTTTTTTTTTTTTTTTTTTTTTTTTTTTTGAGAAGGAGTCTTGCTTTGTTGCCCAGGATGGAGTGCAGTGGCACAGTCTCGGCTCACTGCAACCTCTGCCTCTCAGGTTAAGCAATTCTCCTGCCTCAATCTCCCAAGTATCTGGGATTACAGGCGTCTACCACCACACCCAGCTAATGTTTGCGTTTTTTTTTTCTTCCTGAGATGGAGTCTTGCTCTGTCGCCTAGGTTGGAGTACAGTGGCATGATCTCAGCTCACTGCAACCTCCGCCTCCCGGGTTCAAGTAATTCTCCTGCCTCAGCCTCCTGAGTAGCAAGGATTACAGGTGTGTGCCACCACACCCGGCTAATTTTTGTATTTTTAGTAGAGATGGGGTTTCACCACATTGGCCAAGCTGGTCTCGAACTCCTGACCTCGTGATCCACCGGCCTTGGACTCTGTGCCTTTGATCACGTTGGGGTCACCACCTGAGACGTGGGTCCCACTGCCGTGGAAGTCTGACCTGCAGACTCTGACTCAACCGCAGATGAATAAATGCACTCTCATACCATTAGGCTATATCAAGTGGGCTAGGGAATGGCCGCTGGCTGCTTTCAGGGGGCAAAATACAACCAATTGACCTAGATTCCCTGTTCATCCACACATTTATTCCCTAGACATTACGATAGAGGTTCTAAGTTAACACACTTGTGAATAATTAACATGGTTAAGAGAATGGTTTTACAACTGGTAAAAGCTTTTGGTTCTGGGGCCCAGAATAAATGCAATTAATAAGTAATTCCCCTTTAATGAGGTGGCTGCCTTCAACCTGCCCCAATAAAACCCTTTTGCCTTCCAAAAGGCTTGAGACTATAACTTTCTCTAATATATCTTTACTATTTTCTGTAATATTTTGCCAACCACCCCAAGTGAATCTCAATAGGCCTCCCAAAGTGCTGGGATTACAGACGTGAGCCACCATGCCTGGCCATTTGTATTTTTAGTAGGGACAGGGTTTCACCATGTTAGCCAGGCTGGTCTCAAACTCCTGATCTCAGGTGATCTCCCTGCCTCAGCCTCCCAAAGTGCTGGGATTACAGGCATGAGCTGCCGCACCGGGCCAGTAAATGGGTATATCCTTTAACTATTATGTAAAAATAATGCAGTCCATATGAGACTCTGACTGCATGCTCTCCATAGTCCTTGCCCTGGGACTTTGTCTGGGGTTCCCATGACTTCTGGCTTCCTATCCCTGACTCTTTGGTCGCAGTGTTTGTGACTAGGTCCTGAGAGGATGGCTTGCATAGAGCCAGCCTCACGCTCTTCCTCTAAAAATCAGATTTGTCATCACTTACCAGATGGAGTTACTGAAAAATAAAGGATAAAAGATCTGAAATGCCTCACAAGCAATACATACATACTTCATAAATGTTGTAAAAGAACAGATCCGCTGCGATCTGAAATGCCTCACAAGCAATACATACATACTTCATAAATGTTGTGAAAGAACAGATCCGCTGCATCTCAGTATCTTGTAGCAAAAGCAAAGTAACAACTGAAAAGAGAAAATGGATGATTGAGAGAGGGACAAAAGCTGCCTGAGAGTCACACATGATATGTTTATGCATGGATGTTATGTATACATGATGGATGTTTATGTATGGATTAGAAAACAGTTACTCACATTTAACATCATCGAGTGTAATGGTGCCCTGTTGACCTCGTTTCTCTAAAGATTTAGCTGACTTATCCTCTCTTGCAGCAAGCCTTTTATCTGTCAACCTGTTTTGGAATATAACAGTTTATAGTAGTGTTGTATTTTAATATTTTAGTTGGATTTAATCTAGTCTGACGTGCAAGAAGCATTTATTAAAAAGTAATAAGGGCCTGAGGGTCATACATGGGTTTTGTTTGATGTAAGATGATTTCAGAATGCTTTTTATTAAACATTATATTTACTATGTTAAGGCAAGCGGGATGCTCACTGCCTGATATAAAATCTAAATACAAGTATCATCCAAAATAGATCATTTAAATCATCTATTCTGGTGTACCTATCATTTTCAAATTTTAAGAAACTGTAAAAAGTTGAAGACGTGCTGACAGCCAGGTTAACAGGATACGTTTATTGAGACTACTAGAATTCCCACCATAATTCTGAAACAGTGCATGTTCTCTCTTTGATGGGTACTCACATTGCAACCTAGAATAATAGGAATGGTATTTTCGTGGTTTGTAAAGGCTGAAGCCATTCCACTGAGAGGGGCTATCAGCAACTCTGGCATGGTTGAGAAGTTAATCTACCTGTCTGAAGCTGGACCGTCGATTTCTGCAAAGTGAACTGCTTTGCCTCTCTTTCCTTTTTCCTTGACTTCTACTGCAGGTGTAAAACTGCAATCAAACGAGATAATTAGGGACTTCACTTCTTCCAGAGGAAAACAAGTCAAATCATGTCATAACTCATAATCTTGGGACTAGCATATATTATCAGCAGAAGCTGAAGAGAATCTGAGACATAGCAATGTTCAATTCATGTATTTATATACTGACTTATCTAGAGAAAAAATTAAAACTTCAGACTTTACATTCAGCCTCTAACCATCAGCAGTCTCCACAATACCACCACACACAGAACATTTGAAAATCTTGTAGTAACTTCCTAAGAAACAGAAAGCTCTTGAAAAATTTGGAAAGGTTATTTATTGAGGTACTTAATATATATGACATGTGCTTTTAGGCACAAATCTCATTTAACCCTCATGGAAACTCAAGCACAAAATATTATCACCATTTTTACATATAAGAAAAATGGAAACTTAAAAAGAGGTTAAGTGACTTGACTAAAATAACAGCAACTGGCAAAGTCAGGACTGGTGCCTAGGTTTTTAGCACAGAGCCTTGTGCTGAGCCACCAGGCAATTCTGCCTCCCAAATAGCAATCTCAGTATTGGCTGCCATGGACTCTTCTAAAGGCCTCAGCCATATCCATCTCCAGGTGGGTTTAGGATCTTCTACTTAACTCAGAGTTTCTTAGTATGTTGTACAAGCACTACTAAGCCATAATGAGTTTAACTAATGAAGCAACCCAATTAAATAACAAATCTGTACTGACGATCTACTATGTGTTAGGAATTGCTATGACATTGAAAATAAGATGGTTTCTAATTAGAACCATTGCACAGACTCTCAGGAGTCTCAGCAAATGCTAACAGAAAAACAGAGAAAAGTCTTTTGAAGACCATCAGGACAAGGTTCCTGCCTTATAGATAGTACATTTTCTGGGAGAACCATGGTGTCTGCCAAATCCATTGTGAGTTATCACAATGCCACATTGATAACACAATGTAGAAGCTTACCCTCTGCCCAAAGTTATGTGTCCCTCTGTTAAGCTGAGAGGCAGATGAAGTAATAGAAGCACTTCCCCTCAACTTTATCCATTCTCTAAAGATGGATATTAATCATGAGAACTTTATTATCTCCTTGGTAAATCCCACGAAGAAATTTTGTTAGAGAAATACCTCCCTGTGGGAACAATAAAATCAGCTTGGTACTTTCTTCTTCCAGGAGTTTCTCCAACTGCCTGGCAATATTCATGTTGTAGGTTAGCTCCTAAAAGCATGTACATAACATTACCTCAAGGGAATGATTTTTTTTCCACTGTTTTCTTTTTTTTAAGACAATTGGCACCAAGTTGGCCAGTGACTATTTCTAAGCTTTCTTTCTTTTTGGTGCTGCTCTTATCACTGGTCTCCATGAAATGGGTATTTGTGGGGCAGGGTGTGCTAAAATACTGAGGATAGAGGTGTGCAGGGAAAAAGAAATGGAAAGATGCCAAACATTGATGGTGGCTACCTCCAGAGACGGGCAGGGGATCAGAGGGGACAGGAAGGAGAGAGAGGGTAATTAAGGATCTCAACCCTACATCTGTATACTTCTGCATTATTTGAATTTTTTTATAAAAATGTATTACCTGCATAACTTTTCAAAACATTGATAGAGATATACAGACTAAGGAAGCCCCAGCTGTTCCCAGCTCTCGCCTGTTTCTCTTCCCTAGAAGATGAGAGAAGATAGAAACACTAAATCTAAGTTAATGTCAAATGAAACTGTGTCTCCTCCCCCTTTTCTCAGTCCCATCCCTATAATTCAAAGTTTCTTGCATTTGCCTGAGATGTTTTGAGACAAGATAGCCTTAAAATAAGGAATTTGAAAGGATACAGTTGGGACTATCTTAGTCTATGAACTAAGTCAGATGAACTTGGAACTATAAAACCATAAAATTGGCCAGGGTTGGTGGCTCGCACCTGTAATCCCAGCACTTTGGGAGGAAGCTGAGTCCAGTCAATGGCTTGAGCCCAGGAGTTTGAGACCAGCCTGGGCAACATAGTGAAACTCTGTCTCTACAAAAAAATAAAAAAAAAAAAAAAAAATTAGTTGGGTGTGGTAGCACGTGCCTGCCTTCCCAGCAACTTGGAAGGCTGGGATGGGAGAATTGCCTGAGCCCAGGAAGTGGAGGTTGCAGTGAGCTGGGATCACACCACTGCACTCCAGCTAGCCTGGGTGACAGAGTGAGACCCAGTCTAAAAATAAAATTAAAAAGCGGGGCTGGGTGCGGTGGCTCATGCCTGTAATCCCAGCATTTTGGTAGGCCGAGGCGGGTGGATCACCTGAGGTCAAGAATCCGAGATCAGCCTGCCCAACAAAGAGAAACCCCATCCCTACTAAAAATACAAAATTAGCTGAGCGTGGTAGCGCATGCCTATAATCCCAGCTACCCAGGATGAAGCAGGAGGGCCGCAAACAAACCTCTCGAACACCAAAACGGGAAGGAAGTGGTAATTGTATTCGGCCAGGACTTGCAGTGGCATAGATGCCTCAACAACCGAGCTCTCCCGGCAAAGAAAACCGAGGCCGTTTTAAAGGCTTACAGTCTGAGAGGTGTACATGTGAGATGGTCAAGAGCGTGGGGGACATGACCAGGTGGGGGTCTGAGCAGTTGAGCAAGAACAATGCCTTCCAGGGAAAATTCCTCTGTACCATGTCCGTGATCTATAGATAGGGTTGTGGTCAGCATAGGGGTTTTAATCCTTTAGACCTCACAGCAGCACCTACCCGTCCCTCCTCTGGCTGACTTTTAACTTCTGCTTTTGAGAGGCAGTGTAGAAGGCTAAAGGGGAAATGGCCTTAGAAGCTCGGGAGGAGGGGGTCTCCTTCCTCGGGGAGGCTGAGGCAGGAGAATTGCTTGAACCCGGGAGGCAGAGGTTGTGGTGAGCGGAGATTGTGCCATTACACTCCAGTCTGGGCAACAAGAGCGAAACTGCATCTCAAAAATAAATAAATGAATAAAATAAAAAATAAAATCATAGAATTTTGGGGTTATTGGAAATAAAAAATATCATCTAGAATAAGGCTGTCATTTTACTGACGGAAAACTAAGGCTTGGAGAGGCTGACCTGTGTCCCAGTGGTAGAAACTGGTAGGCAGTGTCTGCCCTTAGCCAATTGTCTGATATTTACCGCTAAACTTTTAGTCCTTATGCTCTGACCTCTGGACACACCTTCTCTACTTCACACTTGTCTGAGTGGCTTTCACCCCACTGAAGTCATTCTCTAGCTTGGCTGGTGAGACAGGTTCTACTTTGTGAGAGTGAGCGCTCTGCCATAGCCCTGAAGGCAGCCTATGCTCACAATGCATTTGGAATCACCAAGAAGCAACACGAGTAATAACCAAATTTTTTTTTCCATTTGTGGTTCGAGTTTACAAATTTTTTTTTTCATTTTTTGCGCGAATTTTTTTTTTTGAAACTGAGTCTCACTCTGTCACCTAGGCTGGAGTGGCACGATCTAAGCTTACTGCAACCTCTTCATCCTGGGTTCAAGCAATTCTCCTGCCTCAGCCTCCCGTGTAGCTGGGATTACAAGTGCGTGCCACCACATCTTGCTAATTTTTGTATTTTTGGTAAAGATGGGGGTTTCACCATGTTGGCCAGGCTGGTCTCAATCTCCTGACCTCAGGCGATCCACCTACCTCGATCTCCCAAAGTGCTGGGATTACAGGCATGAGTCACTGTGCCCAGCCAATAATCGAAAATTGCACTGTGAATTGTACCTCTGATTCGTGCCCAAACCACAGTCTGGGCTAGTTAGCCTGTACCCTCCTACTGTCTCCAGAGTACAAGGTGTATGTACTTTCCTAATATTAGAATATAATCATGTCATTCCCCTTTGCCTTGAAGTAAACAGGAAAGAAATTCATATTTTCTCTCTAGAATTCATCACGGAAATGCAGATGCCTGGACAATTCTTGGCTTCCATACAGTTAGATTTCTTTGATGGTTCTCAGAGTCTTCTCTCAGGCCATAATGAAAGAGTAGTCTTTCCTTGGTTTTCTATCCTCAGGGGAGTCCATGACCTTTGCAAGGATTCAAACAGACTGCTGGTTCTCACCCAGCTTTAGGACAGGACCACTTGAAGCAAGAAAGGAAAGGACAGCAGGTACTATGTCAAAGAGAAAAGCCTGCCTCATGGGCCAACCTAGATGTTGCCTGTGAGTAAAAGTATTTCTCTTTACCAAATAAGAAAGAAGTGGGCATGAAGGCTGATGAACTATACCAACACCTTCATTTACTTCTCATGAGGCATAATTATTGCATTTTATAGATGAAGGAACTGAGAATTATTGAGGCTAAGTAACTTGACAACTGATAACCACCTAGTAAGGGGCAGAGCTAGGATGTGAACCCAGGTCTTCCTTTAAACCATTCTCCACTGTTCTTTCTTAACTACCTATTAAGAAATAATGGCCACCCTTTCCCTGGCATCTCTTGCACAGAGTTATGGGTATCCTGTTGTATTCTGATAGTCATCTCCATCACGTTATAATCTGCAAAAGTAAGTCAAGACTTGCCTGTGAGTAGGGAGCTAGGTTGTCTCTGAGGGTAAGATTTCCTGTGTCATTTGACCAGGAGAGAGGTCAGGAAATTCAAGCTGGGCGAGGGGAAAGGGATCATCTTTTCTTGATCTGAACTTGAGAAAACCTAGAAGACTAGGATTGCTCTTGGCTAGTGGGTATAAAAGTTGGCCTACCCCAAGTGGAAGAGGACTAAAACGTCGGAACCTTCAGGGTCTTAAGTTGATGGGATAAAACTTGAATGCACCTGAGATCAAGCTGTTACTTTGTGTAACAGATACTTGGATTCAGGACACTCCATTTTCCTCCCCTCTCTCTGGCTACAATTTACTGGTCTTCAAAAGCTCCTTTTCTTTCTTTTTTTTTTCTTTCTTTCTTT